GCACTCGGTGCATTTAGCGCAATGGAAAAAGGAATATTCGTGAGTTGCTCTGCTGGAAACAGCGGTCCATTCAATTTTTCATTGTCAAACGAGGCCCCATGGATTCTCACGGTTGGTGCAAGCACTATTGATAGAAAACTAAGAGCTGTTGCTGTGCTAGGGAATAACGAGGAGCTCGAAGGTGAATCAGCATTTCAGCCTAAAGATTTCCCTTCAATGCAATTGCCTATTGTTTACCCTGGATTGAACATTAGTGATTTTAGAGCCGCGTATTGCACTCCAAGTTCGTTGAATAATACTGATGTCAAAGGAAAGATAGTCCTTTGCGAAATAGGTGGTGGGACAACAAGAATTGCCAAAGGACAAGCAGTGAAGAATGCCGGTGGCATAGCCATGATTCTTCTTAACATAGAGCGCCAAGGCTTTAGTACAGCAGCTGACTCTCATGTTCTTCCAGCTACAAATGTCAATTATGAAGGCACACAAAAGATTATAGCATATATAAATTCGACATCCACTCCAACAGCAACAATAGTGTTCAAAGGAACAGTAATTGGCGATAAAAGTGCTCCTATGGTGGCTTCATTTTCTTCCAGAGGTCCCAGTCGCGAGAGCCCTGGAATCTTGAAACCTGACATCATAGGCCCCGGTGTTAACATTCTTGCTGCGTGGCCTATCTCTGTAGAAAATAATTCCAATACAAAATCGACATTCAACATAATTTCTGGTACCTCTATGTCATGCCCACACCTCAGTGGTATAGTGGCATTGCTCAAAAGCACACACCCGGATTGGTCCCCTGCCGCCATTAAGTCAGCAATCATGACTAGCGCCGATATTGTGAACCTCAGTGATACTCTCATTGAAGACGAGAGGCTCGTTCCAGCTAACATTTTTGCTACCGGAGCTGGCCATGTCAACCCTTCGAAGGCAAATGATCCGGGGCTGATTTATGACATTGAACCTCGAGACTACATTCCTTATCTATGTGGTTTGAATTACACAAACCGACATATAAGTGTGATTTTACAACGTAAGGTAAATTGCTCGGTGGAATCAAGCATATTGGAAGGGCAACTGAACTATCCATCATTTTCCATCATGTTCGGATCATCTAGTCAGACATATACAAGGACAATGACAAACGTTGGCGAGGCCAATGCAACATACACCGTCAATATTGTTCCACCTCAAGGCGTGAGTGTGACTGTCAAACCTCCTACTCTCAATTTCTCAGATTTGAACCAAAAGTTGACATATGAAGTTACATTTAGAAGATTAGACACTGCTTCTAACACTACCAACTCTCATGGATATCTTTTATGGAAGTCATCTAAACATTCCGTGAGGAGCCCTGTTGCCGTGTTTGAGACAAAATTGTAGGATTGCAGTTTCGCTCTCTAATTTTCTTCAGTGAATTTGTGTAATTTATATTTCTTGATTCGTAAAGGTTTAACGAGCTTTTAGGCTCTTCATGTGTTGAATAAATTTGTATCTTACCAGACATCAAAGATCAATAGTCTATCTTCTTTCTTTTATCTTCAGTATCATGAACTTTTTAAGAGACTCGCTTTGCTTGAAAGAATTCATTTTGCGAATACAAATTCAAATTGCACTCCNTATCTTCAGTATCATGAACTTTTTAAGAGACTCGCTTTGCTTGAAAGAATTCATTTTGCGAATACAAATTCAAATTGCACTCCTGAGAACTTTAACTTTTACACCTCACCTTCACACCACTGCACCATCTTATAATCCACCTAGCCTTAGCCCTAGCCCTAGCCCTAGCCATTGAAATCGAAGAATTCAACTGCAAAGAACTTGAACTAGCAACTAACAATTTTCCTGACCCAAAACTCTTGGGCTGGAGCAGCCTTGACCTTGTTTACAAAGAGGAATAAATGATAAATGGGAAAATGTTCAGTATTTGGACATTTATGTGAAGAGATCATAAGGGAAAAAGCTTAATGCTGGACTTTATTATTTGTAGGTTGGTATTTAAAGTTAATTTCTTTAGCAATTTTTACTATTATTAGAATTGTTTAATTGTTTTCCATATGACTTAAGCTTTGTTAGGAATTGGTTTTAGAGTTTCAACTTCTAAATATCAAATAAGTACAATTGTTTAAATATTTGGTAAACTTAAAGTAACGACTTATTGAAGGAGCAGTAGCATATGACGATATATTTTGAGAAGCAATAAAACAGTAGCTTACAAATTCTGCTCTTGGTCTTTTCAATAACATTACTTTTGTTAGGCAATTTATTATCAAACGACCTTCCCCGAGCTATGATGTTATTCGGTTTATTTTTTCGGTTGGCTTAACCAAATGACTGAACGAGAATCCAACACCCCATTCAAAACGATACGACCCAAAGGTTAATTGGGTCACTCGAAGCAATCTAAATATTTTAGTGTTGCTTGTGGTCCAATCCACTTTCTTGGATGGACATTAATTGAGAGAACAACTTGTGAGCCCATTTAACTATCTCTTGGGCCTTTAACTTGACCAATTGGTTAACCTATCTATACTTACCTTATTTGGGCCATTTGGTTACAAGATAAATTGATCTCTCTCTCTAAGTGAGAGACGCCTCAATGTCTCTCTCTCTCTCGACGGCTTTTACGTGTTCATCTTCCTTTACTCTTTCTGCCTCTTTGTGATTACTGCCTTTTGGTGATATTGTGTGAGATTTCTTGCACCTTTATGGTCTCCTAAGTGATATATCTCATTGGCAACCGAAAGTGGAGGCTTGGCATTGTCTTGGGTCGTTGTTGTCGGCTTGTGGTTGTTGGAAAAAGAAGGGTAAGGATAGTTCTAGATTAAAATCTGGGACTAAGGCTAGAAATGCTATGGCTGTGGGAACACGTGGCATTTTATAAGGAATTGTCATAAGGAGAAGGGTAAGTTAAATATTAAGGAGAGAGATGAGGTAAACGTGTTATCCTCTACGTTTAAGATAGATAATGGCGAGGTCTATATGATTACAAGTCCCGTTGCACACACTGTTGAATTGAATCTAACTGCTAATTCCCATATTCATGACTGAATACTTGATTCTGGTGCATCTTTTCATGTGATGTCTGAATGGTTTGATAACTTGCATGAATCTAATGTTGGGCATGTTGTGCTGTGTGATAACTTTGCCTATACTATTGTTGGAATTGATGACATAAATATAAAATCTGACATGAGTTTTGTGTACACATTAAGGGATGTTAGATATATTCCTGAATTGTCTAGGAATTTGATTTCAGTAGGGAGACTCGAAAAGGATGACTTCACTGGTAAAATTAGAAATTGTATGCTAAAGATGATTAAGGGTGCATTAGTTTCCATTAAGGGAATTAAGAAAAACGATATTTATATCACTATTGGGGAAGTAATTAGAGGTTTGAATTTTTCTATCTGTTTTGCCAAAATTGATCGCATACACACATGACATAATAGACTTGCACACCTAGGCATTAAGAGACTTAAACTACTTAATAAAAATGTGCATTTGGTAATGACTATGTGTCAGATTTGTCATTTTGTGATCACTGTGTGCTTGGTAAATATCATAAAATTTCATTCTCCACGAGTGTTCATAAAGTTAAAGGCATGCTTGAAGTGTGCACTTTGATATGTGGGTCCTGTTAGTAATCCCACATCGGGTGGGAATATGTATTTCTAGTCTATTATCGATGACTATAGTAGGAAAGTGTGGGTCTATCTATTAAAAAATAAATCAGAGAGTTTTCATAATTTTAATAACTGGAAGAGACAAGTGGAAAACCAAACTGGTAAGAAGATCAAATTTTTAAAGACAAACAACAGCCTAGAATTTTGCAACACGAGATTTGATAGTATATGTAAAGAAAATGGCATAATTAGACATAAGACAATTGCTTACACTCCCCAACAAAACGGGGTAGTGGAAAGGATGAATAGGATCATACTTGATAAAATGCGTTGCATGATATTAAGTTCTGGTGTCCCTAAGTTGTTTTGGAATGAGGCTGTTATGACTGCTTGTTATTTGATTAATTTGACTCCATATGCTACATTAAATGGTGACACTCCGCATGAAAAATGGTCGGGTAAACTGAGTGATTACTCTGCGGTTAGAACTTTTGGTCGTGCTTCTTTTTCTCATCAGAGTGAGGGAAAGCTGGAATCTAGAGCTAGAAAGTGTCTTTCTAAGATATCCTGGGAGTGTTAAGGGCTATAGGTTATGTGATAGAAGTCAAAAGGGGATTAAGATAATCGTGAGTAGGGATGTCACATTTAACGAGAATGACCTGTGAGTGAAACTGAACCAGGTGAAGAGAGAGATAGGTTTAAGGTGGAGTCACGAAAACTTAGTACACCTGCCCCTACTACTCCGAATGAGGTGAAGATTCAGGTTCAAGAACCTGAGGTAGAGAACGGTAACAAAGTAGTGATAGAAGAGCACCTTGAGGAAAAAAATCCCTTAGTAGATTACAACTTAGTTAGGGATAGGAAGAGGAGACAAACGAGAGAACCTAGAAGGTTCAGTTTTGAGTCCGAGTTAGCTTTCGCCCATGTTAGTTACGAAGAACTAATCGATAGAGAGCTAAAAACCTTTGAAAAGACGATGGGTAGTGATCAATCTAAGGAGTGGCTTAAGACGATGAAAGAAGAGATGAGTTCTCTATAAAAGAATCAGACTTGGGAGATAGTACCTAGGCCTAAGAATAAATCGATCGTAGATTGCAAATGAGTTTTTAATGTAGCTCGGAACCCTTAAGGTTTAAAACTAAGTTAGTGGCTAAGGATTACATACAGAATGAGGGTGTTGATTATAATGAGATTTTCTCACCAGTTGTTAAGTACACTATTATTAGGTTCATGCTTGCATTGGTTGTGCATTTTGACTGGGAACTTGAACAACTTGATGTAAAAATTATTTTTTTACATGGTGAGCTTGACGAACAAATCTTTATAAATTAACTAAAAGGTTTTAAGGACAAGTCAAAATCTGATTATGTATACTTTCTGAAAAGGTCCCTGTATCGCTTAAAACAATCACCTATACAGTGGTACAAGAGGTTTGATTCCTTTGTACTCACTATAGGGTTCCAAAAAAGCAAATTTGATCACTGTACGTATTTTCAACACAACGATAACTATATGTTTTTGTTGCTCTATGTGGACGACATACTCTTGATTGGTTCTTCTTCTAAATGGATAAATAATATAAAAGTAAAACTAAGTGGTGAATTTGACATGAAAGACTTAGGTTAGGCTAAGAGAATTCTAGACATGGAAATAGAAAGAGATAGGTCAAATTTTGTTGATTACTTTATACTTAGAACTTTTGGCCATGCTGCTTTTTCTCATCAGAGTGAGGGAAAGCTGGAATCTAGAGCTAGAAAGTGTCTTTCTAAGATATCCTGGGAGTGTTAAGGGCTATAGGTTATGTGATAGAAGTCAAAAGGGGATTAAGATAATCGTGAGTAGGGATGTCACATTTAACGAGAATGACCTGTGAGTGAAACTGAACCAGGTGAAGAGAGAGATAGGTTTAAGGTGGAGTCACGAAAACTCAGTACACCTGCCCCTACTACTCCGAATGAGGTGACGATTCAGGTTCAAGAACCTGAGGTAGAGAACGGTAACAAAGTAGTGATAGAAGAGCACCTTGAGGAAAAAAATCCCTTAGTAGATTACAACTTAGTTAGGGATAGGAAGAGGAGACAAACGAGAGAACCTAGAAGGTTCAGTTTTGAGTCCGAGTTAGCTTTCGCCCATGTTAGTTACGAAGAACTAATCGATAGAGAGCTAAAAACCTTTGAAAAGACGATGGGTAGTGATCAATCTAAGGAGTGGCTTAAGACGATGAAAGAAGAGATGAGTTCTCTATAAAAGAATCAGACTTGGGAGATAGTACCTAGGCCTAAGAATAAATCGATCGTAGATTGCAAATGAGTTTTTAATGTAGCTCGGAACCCTTAAGGTTTAAAGCTAAGTTAGTGGCTAAGGATTACATACAGAATGAGGGTGTTGATTATAATAAGATTTTCTCACCAGTTGTTAAGTACACTATTATTAGGTTCATGCTTGCATTGGTTGTGCATTTTGACTGGGAACTTGAACAACTTGATGTAAAAATTATTTTTTTACATGGTGAGCTTGACGAACAAATCTTTATAAATTAACTAAAAGGTTTTAAGGACAAGTCAAAATCTGATTATGTATACTTTCTGAAAAGGTCCCTGTATCGCTTAAAACAATCACCTATACAGTGGTACAAGAGGTTTGATTCCTTTGTACTCACTATAGGGTTCCAAAAAAGCAAATTTGATCACTGTACGTATTTTCAACACAACGATAACTATATGTTTTTGTTGCTCTATGTGGACGACATACTCTTGATTGGTTCTTCTTCTAAATGGATAAATAATATAAAAGTAAAACTAAGTGGTGAATTTGACATGAAAGACTTAGGTTAGGCTAAGAGAATTCTAGACATGGAAATAGAAAGAGATAGGTCAAATTCTGTTTTGTTTTTGTATCAGTCTCCAACATATTTAAGGTGTTAAAGAAATTTAACATGAGTGATTGCAAACCTATCACGTTGCCTCTTGCCAATCATTTTGTTTTATCTAAAGAACAATCCTCTTACAATGAACGTGAAATAGAATACATGAGTATAGTTTTGTATTCTAATATGATTGGTTCCATAATGTATTTGATGGTTTGCACTGGTCCGGATTTAGATTTTGTTGTTAGTACTCTTAGTAAGTACATGGCTAATCCGGATCCTAAATATCGAGAAGCATTAAAGTGGCTATTAAGATACTTGAAGGGTATGGGTAACGTAGGCCTAAAGTTTAATGCTAATAAGGAAGGTGTGAAATTAAAAGGTTTTGTTGATGCTAATTATGTAAGAGATAGGGATGGTAGGAATCGACTTCCTCTTACGTGTTTATCTTATCTAATTCATGTGTTAGTTGGAAATCACAATTATAACACATTGTTGCACTATCCACTACCCAGTCCGAATATATTGCTACCACTAAAGCAATTAAATAGGCGCTATGACTTAGAGGTCTACTTTATGAACTATGTGTCTTGAATGATTATTTGGTAGTGTACTCTGATAGTCAGTTGTCTATACATTTATGCAAGAATCATATTTTTCACGAACACACTAAACATATTGACGTTAGACTATACTTTATTAGAGATACAGTATCTCAAGATGTGATAAGACTTGAAAAAGTTCACACACAATACAACTATTCAGATATGGGCACGAAATTACTGTCACTGGTAAAGTTTAGAAGTTGCAAGAATCTTTAAAAATTGGTATAGGTAAATGATTTCCAATTTTATCGATTTTCTATTAAAAGTGTCACTAATGGAAGACGTTTTCTTTTTGTAGGTCTTTTGACGCCAACGTGGAGGTTGTTAGGCAATTTGTTGTCAAACGACCTCCCTCGAGCTATGATATTACTCGATTTATTTTTTGGTCGACTTAGCCAAATGACTGAACGAGAATCCAGCACCACATTCAAGACGATATGACCTAAAGGTGAATTGGATCACTCGAAGCAACCTAAATATTTTAGTGTTTCTCGTGGTCCATTCCACTTCATTGGATGGCCATTAATTGAGAGAACAACTTGTGAGCCCGTTTAACTGTCTCTTGGGCCTTTAACTTGACCCATTGGTTAACCTACATATACTTACCTTATTTGGGTCATTTGGTTACAAGATAAATTGGTCTCTTTCTCTCTAAGTGAGAGATGCCTCACTGTCTCTCTCTCTCTCTCTCTTGGCCACTTTTACGTGTTCCTCTTTCTCTACTCTTTTTGTCTCTTTGTGATTACTATATTAGTGGTGATATTGTGTGAGATTTCTTGCACCTTTGTGGTCTCCTAGGTGATATATCTCATTGGCAACCTGAAGTAGAAGCTTGACATTGTCTTGGGTAATTGTTGTCGGCTTGTGGTTGTTGAAAATGGATAAAAACTGAGTTTGAGTTTTTTTTGGTGTTCAATACATCTTCTACAACTTTGAAGCATGAACTTAAAAGTTCATGTCTCCCACTCGCATAAAATTCCCTATCCTAATTACTTGAAACCATTGCACAATATTTTTGTCTCCTAAGTGCACAATTTTTCGTAATTCCAATTCCCATTGATGAATTATTTAAACTTATTTAATATCCTTTTTCTATTAAATGGAAATGAAGAAATTGAAAAATATAAATTGACGCGCAAAGGCAAATGTATATCAAAGATGACATAAATTTCTTTGATTTTTTATGAATACATTTTTTATTAACTTTATAAGTTTTAAGATTTAATAAATACATTTGTTATAACTCTTATTTTGATTTATTTTATTCCTTTTGCTCCCCCAATATATAACTGAACGCATGATGAAGAAATTTTCAATTTTTTAATCGCGTAGTATTAATTAGGGATAAATTCATATGTACAGAATAACTTCTTAAAGAATGTTGTCAGAATAGTCTCATGATATGGGGCCCATCATGAAAAAAAATTGCCAAAAAATACCCTACCCACCCCCTATGTGTGTATTCTAACAGCATTTTGTGAAAAAAAAATTTGTACATCAAACATGGCTCATTAATAAGTGCTTGTTAAAAGTTCCAACACATATAGTAATTAATTTGCTTGGGCGCACAAGCCATTAATTGCTAATCCAACCCTACAGTAGAAGTGGCACAATACCCCAATCAATGGTTTAATGCAGAAGATTTCGACCACTAGAATTGCTACTGAAGATTAGAAATTTATGGCTGGTGACGAAAATCATAGCTGTCAAACCACGTGGGCTTCATCAAAGCTCTTAAAAGTATTACAGTTAATTGTGTGAATGAGCAGGTGAGGTGAAGTTGAAGAATAGTGATAGCCTGATCTTATTATATTCTCCCTTCTTTCTTTTCCATTTTTCTTTTTTCATTTGTTGTTTATAGGTATTTTTGTTTCAATTTTATGATTTTGATGTATTAGTATGATGTAAGAATGAGATGGCTCCAAAAATAATAATGATGTAAGAATGAGAATATATGGTTCTGAAAAAAAAAAAAAAAAAAGAATGAACATATGCGGCGACAAGACGATGCGAGAACAATTGACAATGAATTGATTAAATAAAAATGACGGCATGATTAAATGGTTATGACATTAATTTATTTCACTATGTGCGATGCGTGACAATGAATCAATTAATTATGAAGAGAACATGATTGAGTGGTTATGATAAATTACTTTCTATCATTAATACGACCACGATACACAAATTTTCCTTCAATAACGTGATCCCAATATATGACGCAAAAATGATAGATACATTTCAAAATTAAAGTAACTTCATCCTGAATCTTCACAATAGATATAGGGTTCAATCGAATGGAGAAGAATGATTTCTCTCAAATTTAAGCAACTTGATTTAACAATATTGATTCATGAATACTACTATACTTGGAAAACCTACTTTACATTTCATAGTACAATATATCAACTAATTTATTTATTCATTGTGGATCCTCCATCAGTAAATCCAATTCCATGCATAAAATTCAAAGATTTATTATTCTTTTTATTTTTTTCAGAGAATCACTGGAGTTAATTACTTATTTTTATCTTCAGACTTCTCCTTCTTGGATTGGACACTGCCATCTGTTCCAGCTATCATAGTATACTTGTCCTTCCTAGTCAAATTAGTACACTCAAACCCTAATGTCCCACCCAGCACCCTCTGAATATAATTTGCAACTTCAATGGCTGATTTTCCACCTTTGCAAGTGAGTTCACGTGGCAGTTGCTTCAAGAAAGTAATCTCATAAACAGGCCTAGGGTTCATGTACACAAAATATGGATCAAAAATTTTGTGCCCTCGAGCCGATGTTCCATAAAACACGCTTTGTTTAACGTTAATCGCCACAGGCACGATTCTGTCCGTAAGTTCTGCAAATAATGCACTGAATCTTAAGAGAAATGGCTCCCTACAAGTAGTACCCTCAGGACATATCACAAGGTCACCTTCTTGAAGTAGGGTTTTAATTTGTGCTGCATCTTTCTCTCTTTCCCTTGATAATGCAACTGCTTTAATTGGTGAAATCATTTCTGAAAATTTACTTATGCTATAAGTGACACAGCTGACTTTCCTCCCTAGTGCAACTGCAAGGACGACAGGGTCGATGATGGTCCGGTGGTTGCAGACGAAGAGGACGCCGCCTCGGCCATCCTTAGGCGGCGGTGGAGGGGTGCCCTTTACAATAAGCTTAATTCCAAGAAACTTATAATTGTATTGAACAATTTTTTCTGGTAAGTAGATGTTGAGATAAATTCTAAGTAAAGAAAGAATTATGCCTATTGGCATCCATAAGAAGGTCATTAGTGCCACAAGAGGTGTAGGTCTTTGTACTAGACGTCCCTCATGGAAAATTATTGGTGATAGAAGCTTGTTTCTTGTTAGGGGTTCACATCTTGTTCTAGGCACCATGTATGCTTCCTGCAATTACATTATACAGCAATTAAAACACGTATATATGATTCGTCTTATCATTTACCACCGAGCGGAATAATAATATGAATGTGAAAAAAATAAAAAAGTTTTATTCTCTTGTTTGGTTAAACTAAAAATTTTATTAAAATCTGAATCAAATTAAATAAACAATTTCAAGAATATATTTTATGGAATCCACAACTTTTCAACGCCACATTCCATCAACTTTTATTAAAATCTACTAAAAATCTAATTTTTATCTAAATGGGGCTATAGATGCATGTTGTGAGTGGCGGCTAGGATGAAGTAAATGAAGCACCTAACATATTAAATATGCATGAAACTGAAAGACCCTGCAATTCTATTCGTGGAAGGCTAAATTACGACTTTTTTTCACGGTAGTTTTGGAATTTTCTTGATTTAGGTACGTGAAGAAGATGAGCCAAATATCAAATTCTATGACTTCTTTCCAATTTCATGGTGGAAGGAGGGGAAGTGGAAAGGTAATTAACCCATGACCTTTTTTCATGAGAGAGAAACTAAGTAAACACATTAAAGTTGGACACGAAATTAGTGTGTCATGGTTATTGCCTATGGTAAGAAAAAAGACGACTTTCCTTTTCATGCCTAGAAAAATATCATTTTCACAACAATAACATGAAAAAGTGCAATTAATACGAACACCCAATTATCTATGAAAAGTTTGTCAAAGTGCAAGTGATTAGTTGATTATTTTACCTACTTTTTTTATAAATTATATAAGGGACATATTTGATTCAAAATGCTTAATATGATCAAATACTCTCGAGTATCTTCAACTCATCAATGGTAATCATCAAAATTTGTGAAGCAAAACACGACTAAAGGTTGAATTTACCTTGCATATCGACATGAAGCCATGATCAGTCTCTCTATCGCCGAGACCTAAATCCGGAACCTTTGTGCCAAATTCATTTAAAATTGCCATTTTTTTGTGTTCACCAACAAGAACACCAGGTTTTTTAACAAACCCTGTTGCACGTCCAGATTTGGATATTTCCAACTCTGTCCCAAGAACCTCATCAGCCCCCAAAAAGTTCTTGGCAAAGTGTTCCACCATGATTCTAGGGTTTGCAGTAACTATATATCTCTTGCCAAAAGAGTTGAAAACTCTCCAAGTCTCCAGGTGGACATCTTCAGCATAGAATTTAGGCAAAACAGACCTAGAAACAAGCTCAATATCTCGAATTTTCAAACCCGAAAAGGCAATGAAAATGAACGTTTGGATGGCAATGGATTCTGAAACAAACAAGTACACGAAATACACAAATGGGACGGACGCAAGAAGGACTAACGCTCGAAGAAGATTGCCGGCTTCTAAGGCGACAAGCATGAAGTATGGAAAAGCACTTCTAGACACCAAAAGTGTACCATCTAGGTCAGCTGCCACGGTTTGATTTGACCGTCCCTCGGACTTACATTTCGTTATTGGTTCAAAATTTTGATGAGTAGCCATTAGAGAGAAAGAGAGGAGGGGATCGATAATGGGTTATTTTGTGTGACCTTGTTGTGTTTTAAAAGGAGAAGGAAGAGAATGAGAAACATGGGATTGTTGGGGTGGTTTTGTAATGAAAATATTATGTGGTTGAGAGAGAAATGGTCCAAGTAGTTGGAAATTGATACAATGCCAATGTGTAACATTCAATTAGCCTACTTTTTAGTTTTGGAGGCCATTCATCACACTCCATTATAGGGTTCACCATGCCTTCAATTTATAAACATAGACTCTATAGACATTTTTGTCAAACGGTCGGTTAATGACGTAAAAATTTACGAATCAGATTGTGACTTGAATTCATCATTTTTCACGTTTATTTTAATATCATGTTGAACTATTGAGATAAACTTGTAGCGATC